CAGCGGAACTTAACACGTTAACGACCAGCGCTAAATTTTTGAAATTTGCTTCTGGACCAAGCTAGTTTATTTCCCAAGGACTCAACCTATTGAACGCCACATATGAACACATTACATCTGTAAAAACGGATTAAGTCAGACAATGACATAATTTCCCTACCCTAGTGTACATCTGGCAACGTTGTCCCTTTCCACAGGCAATGAATGACCGTTCATGGCCTGGGTAGGTTGTACAGGGTGGTCCATAAGTCCTTTGAAATTTCAAATTTGAATAAAATTTAACGGGTGAGCGTGAGCGGCGCGGGCGAGGTGGGGGCAGTATCTTCAGTGTCTGGGAATTCAGTCGCCATGGAGTGTTTCACTGGAGCGGATCGTGCTTTTTGTGTGCGCGCGTTTTATCAAAATAATGTTTCGGCAACCATTGCGCGGCGTAAATATCGAGAATACCACAATTTACACAATTTTACAAAGTGTCCAACAGCTCAAACGATTAAGAACTGGGTTGCTAAGTTCGAAGAGACTGGTTCGACGTTAGATAAACAGCGGTGGGGTCGACCAAGGACAACTCGTATTGAAGAAAACATCAACATTGTGGCACAGTCTGTTCGTCAAAATCCTACCCAGTCTACTCGTAAGCGTTCCAGTGCACTAAACGTACCCAGAACATCTTTACAGCGGATTTTAAGGAAAGATTTACGTCTGCACGCTTACAAAATTCAGTTAGTGCAGGAATTAAAAGATAATGACGCTATTCAGAGACTAAACTTTGCGAATGAAATGTTGAATCGATTTTCTTCGCTCAATAATGTGTTGTTCTCGGACGAGGCTCACTTCCATTTAAACGGGCATGTCAATAAACAAAATTGCCGTTATTGGAGCCCCGAAAATCCAAGGCGTAAGCATCAGAAGCCCTTACACAGCCCTAAAGTTACAGTTTGGGCTGCTATGTCAGCGCATGGCATCGTAGGCCCTTATTTTTTTGAGGACGACAGAGGTCGCGCATTAACTGTTACTTCGGAGCGGTATGTAGCAATGATAGAGGAGTTTTTGACAACAGCGTTGCAGAATTTTCCAGGCTATAATACGCAGACCTGGTTTCAACAGGACGGAGCAACTGCCCACACCTCCAACACTTCTATGCCCGTCGTCTGTCAACTTTTTCCCAGCAAAGTAATTTCTCGAAGAGGACACATGTCCCGGCCACCACGTAGTCCAGACTTGACCCCAATGGACTTCTTTTTATGGGGCTACCTCAAGAGTAAAGTGTACGACACCACTCCGCGATCAGTTGATGTCCTGAAAGAAAATATCCGAAGAGAAATGGCAAGCATTACAGTGTTGACTTGCCGCGCAGTCATCGACAATTTTAGACGTCGTTTATATGAGTGCCGTGATCGTAATGGATTGCATTTAGACGATGTGATTTTTAAAACATAATTCCCATTCAATAAAGATGATAACAAAATATAATAATTCTTCATAATGTAACTAGTTTGGTTTTATTCCTTTTTTTCCAGCTCAAAGGACTTATGGGCCACCCTGTATATGTGCCGCCAGGTGGTGAGCTTAGATGGCAGGAGTACGAGGATCAAAAACATTATCTAACGTTCCAAGTTTTAAAAGCAAATTTACAATGGCTAATAGATGCATACAATTACCGGGGTTGAGGGCGTATAAATATAGTGCGATCCAATAATTTTCACATACCGTCTAGCATCCCCTATAGCAAGAAAACGTAATATCTCATTTTCGAAATTTTTCGGGTAGGAGGTAAAAAGCTGATTTTACTTCTCACGTGAAAATGAGACATATTTTTTGAATGTTATGTCACTTATTCCCGTCTGTATTTATGAGCCTGAATTTCCAGAATTCAGATCCAGCAGATGTTTTGAAAACAAATAACTCACACACACCATCACTCGTTGCTTAAGAAACGGCTAGCCTATGTAAATTTGGCTTTTAAAGGAACCCAGGAATGGGCATATGACCCCCTTTGAACCCCCTAGTGCGCGCCAATGGATTGAAAGCTGCATTTGAATATGGCACTAACAAAAACAAAGACGTAGAGCGACGCGTCGAATTTGGCCTTTTGGTTACTTCATGGATAAAATTTTCGCCTATATAATAGGTAAAATCATTCTCGAAGGATTCTTCAGATGTCCGAAACGCCATTGAATCAAGTTATTCACCACCTGTGATTATATTTATTGTCCAAAATACGGGAGATGTATTAACATCGGTTCATGATTGTTCCAAGCGTCTCGCTTATGTCGCCATGGACGATAAGATACGAATTTCTCACGAAACTTTGACATATGTGCACGAAAAAACTAGTACCGACGGCTGCGGGCAAAAACAAAGTTCGGCATCCTTCGGACGTCTTTATCGGGCGATTTCTCCGAATAAAGAACAGAGGTGATTAAATGATGAGCTTTCATTTTGTTCTCGGCAAAAATACAATGCCGCGCTTTAGCCTCCCGACTCGCTGGGCAGCAGAAGCAGTCGAGTTTTTCGGCGAATTTTCAATTTTTGTTCAAACATCTTCAGCCTACTTTGATGATGCCCACCTTCGTAAAAAAGTCTGGTAACATTTTCGATTTTTTTAAAAACTAGTCACTGATATATACTCGTACTATGCTAAACGCGACCTCGAACAAACTAGTGTCATTGTCCCTTGTAAGATCCCTCGTATCTTCTACAAAAAACAACCCTTCCAGCGGGGTCACTCGATCTGCGTATCTACATGGAGAGATCGCGTTTTTTATAACGCCGCCTATTTTTTTTGCTGGACACGAGACGTGAGAAAGCATTTTTTGTAATTTAGCAGTGGTAAGACCAGAAAATCATAACACGTTTTCCTAATAAAGATTAGCACGTACCACCCTACAATGGCAGTAAAAACACTTGGTTAAATAATTATTACGCCATTTAAAATTACTGTATTCCATCATTTTAGCTTCGTCAATTTGACAATTAAACTTTATATCTCAAAATCTCTGCACAATTATAAAAAATACTATTTTAAGTATAGGCAGCACATTTGTTTGGTGTTGTGATTATCCGTAAGTGGTAGACGGTCTTTGACTGTCGATCGCGGTGGTACTACCTGGCGGATCTCTATGGCGGGGCAAGAATGTGTGCATGTTGTATGCACTCGCTAGAGTGTGTGTGGCATCTCCCCATTTCCCATGTATTCCCCTATACACCCACGGTACCCATGGGTGTTTAGCTATGATCCGAAGACAATAGACCATCTATCTATCTAGGCGCTAGGCCTTCGTGCTGGTTCGAGTATAGAAAAAGGTGGCGTAAAATTAGCTTTATTTATTTTATTTATTTATAATTCCCAACAGGTAACATCGAATTACAGGAAATATAGCAAAAACGAAAATAAATCAATAATTTAACAACAGCGTCACGTAAAAAGAATAAAAACACAAATAAATGTATACAAGTAAGCCAGTATTTGAAATGTGGAAATAGCTGTTAGCATATTGATTCTATATCACACCAAGGTATCAATTTCGGTAACAATCCAATACCGATTTTTCTCGATCACAAAAAATATCACAAATCGCATTGAAACACTTACACATATAGTTTAACGGCGATTTACACCGGATGTTTGTATTACAAATGCCAGGGTAAAACAAATAAATGGTTATAATACTCTATAACTTTTTTATTTTAGCGATAAAAGTAACTTTGTTTTCAAAATATGTTATCTACTGGAAAATCAGGTTAGAAAGATATCATTTCTAATAGTCGGCCATAAATATGATGCCATGTTCTTGAAGGATTCATGAACATACATTTATTCAAATATTCACAAATGAAAAACCCAAGCGCAGTTAAATCCCTTCAAATTTTTGCTGTATATATATATATAGAGAGAGAAAATGATCATGTGGAGAAAGGTATAACACAAAAAGTAGGAAAATAATGAGCAAAATAGGATAGGTAACCCGAGCGATACGTATTTCTGCTGGTTGGCTTCATCAGGCCCGAAATGAATGCACAAATGAAACTACAAAAGTACTTCAAGCGCAAACGTGGCTATAACCGGCCGCGTGATTGTGGTTAGATGTCTCCTTGAAAATTCGAGGTCTTCTAGCCATTTTATACTACAATGTGTAGGTTGGCTCTTGTTGTGGACTTCGTGTGTCGTTTTTTTTCCCTCTCCATCTTCGTTTCCTCAGGTTACACCCGTATCCGGATGTGTGGGCATGTGTATCTACTTTTGTAGTTTCATATGTGCATTCATTTCGGGCCTGAAGAAGCCAACCAGCAGAAATACGTGTCGCTCGGTTTATCTATCCTATTTTCTGCTCGAACCCACTTTCCTGCTTTTTGCGGATTTTGTCCATTATTCATTTTCAACGGTTTCACATGATATCGTATACCCTAACTTATTGTAATATATTTTTTACCTGATTTTCATTCACCTGATCAACTACTTGTTTGTGTAATAATTAGGCGTTTCACCTTTCTGGGAAAACTGTACTTTTTTGTATTTCATGTATTTTTTCTGCCCTGGTTGGTACTGAAAAGCAGCTGTTAAGCTGACTACCCGCCAGGTTAATAAAGGCTTTTAACACGTTGACTGCCAAGCAAAAAAACTTGTTTACCTCTGTGGGGCCAAGAGAAGAAATACATTTATTGGACTTAGATTTAACTTCCCATGCAATCAAAATTAAAATATCATTCATTTTTATATTTTTTTTGTGGTTTTTTCATGCTGGTCCCATGGGACCAGCGTGGCCCCTGTTGACAAAAATCTAGTAATATTCTTTCGTAGCGCCGCTGGTCCCTTGACGTTAGTTTGAGCGGCAATATCGTTCGGCAAATTTATAGGTTATACTATATACTTGCTTCTTGTACCACGTGTTGCTTGCTGACATCTTTTTAGTGGTTTTAGTAGTTTAGAGTAGTTCTGCGATAAGGTAAGAGGTAGTATACTACAGTTTTTTGTATACTGTGAATTTGTGATATTATTTCAGATGTCTAATAGACCCCTGACGCAAAAAGAGTTAGAAGAGCTTGTGAACACGATTTGGGATTCTGATTCAGACGAGTCATTCATAGAACCTTTTCCAGGCTCTGACAGTGATTCACATCAACCATCGGATTCTTCAGAAACCGACTCGGACGATGATATTGGTGACTTATCGAGAGCAAGTAAAAGGAAACAAAGGTTACAGATTCCATCATGTAATGGAGCCAGCACGAGTCGTGCACCTGAATCTGTAACCCAAACTGTTTCAGCATATGGTGAGGGATGGAGGCCAATCGCAAGAATTTACAAAGCCATTCCAACCTATACCCAGTCATCTGGAATAAAACCAGAAGTTGCCGCTTTACTAGCAAATGCAAGTCCATGACAATTCTATGAAGCTGTTGCAGACGATTCGATTTTCTCATATATTGCGGATGAAACAAATCATTATTCTAGTTGTCTCTTACTTGAAACGGATGCAAGTGACAATTCCCGCTACCATAATTGGGTACCAACAAATAAAACAGAAATCAAACATTTCTTAGGGCTAGTGGCCTGGATGGGAATGGTCAAAGCACCTACACTGGCTGATTACTGGTCAACGGATCCATTATTCAACTTTAGTTTTCCATATGTATGTGTTGATGAGACTATGTTGCCTTATAGAGGAAGATTGTCTATAAAACAATACATAAAATCGAAAAGACACAAGTATGGTATCAAATTATTTAAGTTGTGTTCAGGAACAGGATACACATATAATATCAAGAATTTACGCAGGCAAAGAAAATGGCGAACGAATAACTCCAGAAGGTATTGTAACATTTCTTACCCAAGATATTATAGGTCTCGGCAGAACCTTAGTAACAGACAATTGGTATACGAGTTTACCTTTAGCTAAAAGGATGCTTGATTCTAATACACACCTCATTGGCACGATACGCAAAAACCGCAAGGGGCTACCAAAGGAAGTTGTAGACAAAAAACTTAAAAAAGGAGAAGTTGCGGCCATGGAGAACAAAGATGGGATAACATTACTGAAGTGGAAAGACCAAAGGGATGTGCTTGTACTGTCTACAAAGCATGATGCTGAAATGGTAGAGAGAAGTAACAACAGAATACCTAAAGTCGTCATCGATTACAATAGCGGAAAAAAGTTCTGTGGATCTCTCTGATCAAATGGGATCGTATTCTAATCCTCTTCGAAGATCTGTCAAAGGGTATCGCAAAATCGCATTTGAGCTTTTGCTTACAACTTCCATGGTAAATGCTTTTATATTATATAAGAATGTTACCGGATGTAATATCAAGATTACGCAGTTTAAAAAGGAAGTCATAAGATATCTTATAAATACTGCTAACAACGAGAACATTGACCATGAACTACCGGCAAAAAGACGACGACACCATTCTCTAAAACGAAAAGATGGCGAAAATAAGCATAAAACAAGATGTTGTAAGCATTGTTATAAAAAAAATAACGAGCTTCATGGTAGGAAATATGCTACCAATCGTACACTCAAAGTAGACACCTACTGCGAGGATTGCGAGGGAAAACTATTTTTGTTTGAATTGTTTCAATGAAATACATCAAGGGTAGTCAGACTTAGTTAAATATTTTTCCAGTTTTTATATTAGTTACTTTAGTTTAAAATACATAATTTGCTAATATTGATTCGTAGTATTTTCTAATGGGACCACAAAACTAAAAAAAATTAAAATTAAAAAACCATGCTTATAGATATCTTCTATGAGGCCGTGCTGGTCCCCTAAACAACATTATTACATTATAAAACCGGCCAGCGGCTCCATACCCAAGTGAAAGTCTGCTGGTCTCATAGGACCAGCGCGGCTCGAGGCAAGTCATTAAAGCTGGTCCCATGGGACCAGCGTGGCAGTCAACGTGTTAATGATTATTATTATTTGATTTTGAGAACCAGTAACGGAAACTGAGCTTTGTGGTTTACGTTCCACCCGTTAGCACTGTGCATCATTGTCAACAATATCAAACGAGAAGCCTTAAAGTCAAGCAGCGACATATCGGCAGAGGTAGAAAGATAGCCTTGAACAATCGAGCTTGTGAATTTGATGGTTTCTTGTACTTTCTATGATCGTTGAACGTCTGGTTAGGGTTCTAACCCTAACTCTAGTAAATGACGTATCAAAGAAGATACCTGAATCTTAGAAGATAATTATCTAGTCATATACTTAGAGTGTTGATTGATAAAAGACGGATCAATTTCCTGTTTTTACCTGTCGTCGATTTGAAGGTCCCTATAATGTAGTGAAAATAATTTAACTCATTTAAATATTCCTGAGAATATGCAAATGAAATGTTGAGAAAAATTCGCCCGGTCCAGAGATATCCCAAGGAGAATACAATCACAATTACCTTTATGCCGAAACATAAAAAACCCTTTCTCACGTCCAGAAAAAAATGTTATAAAAAGCGGGTTCTCATCTCGAAGAGACAAACTGTACCATCATCGGGTGTCCCAACTTAACTTAAAAGGGGTTGGATTTTTTCGGAGCAAAAAACCCTAGGTAAGGATGACATTTTACCTCCCCTATGCCGGCTACGCGAGGGTAGCTAGGCCGTAGGTACCCACCCCATGGTTAGGGTTGACCAATCCTAGACCAGCATTTAGGATACTCGCCAAAATATCTAACAATAGACTCACCCCGCCTCATAACGGCTGTGGGGCCATGTTTTTGTGCCATTTTATATCGCCGCCAAACGGTTTTGTACGCCGAATAATAAATTGGGAGACCGGTGAACGACGGTATTGTTTTCTCTTTTTTATACTTGTGCGAGTGACCTACGTTTGATCAGGGTGGATTTTGTACGTTGGCCATAGGGACATTGCGCAGCCAGTCATTTCAATTCTCTACAGGGTGTTCCTTAATGATATGCGAATATTTAAGGGTGTGAATCTACATAAAAAATTAATGTTAGTTTGCTTCATGAACTTCATAAAGTATCTAGCGATCTTCCTAGTACTCGTTTCAGGATTTTCTTCGACTTTGTGCAGCACTGCTGCCTCAATTTCACGTGTTCTCACACTTAGAGGTCTATCTTCAGATTTCCGGTCAGAATAAGTTTCAACAAGACGACGATGAATATTAGAAAAGGTTCAACTATCTGGCAAAGCACGATCGGGATATCTCTGGTGATAAATCCGTCTGGCTTGAATATTTCACCATTATTAACAAGATTGTAAAAACTAAATAATAAAAAAGACGTCACAGCGAACAGATCTGAATAACAGAGACTTTAATTAAAAATATGCAACTTTATTAACTTTCGCTACGTACTAAATATCAGTGAAATACATATCTGAAGCGGTTCTGAAAATATTAACACCCCGTGTTCTTGTAAGGAAACATTTTTGGACCATCGTGCAACAGTGCTATACTTTGAGTTTTTTACCGATTACTTACTGATGAATAATGTTCAGTTACGTAATATGATTCTTATCGAAGAAAATAGAACAAGAACCCCTTTTTTCGATAACTGTTAGTCATACATATCTGAAGGACAAGTGAATTACTTTCAGAACTAGTTTTTTGGTTCAAATGAGTCTTCGAAGTTTTTTATAAAAAGTTCAATGATAAATGTTACGTAATAAAATTGGTCGTTTAAACAAAAAAATTCTTGATCTATTAAATTGAAAACTTCCGAATCATCTTGATATAACAATGAAGTGAAAAAAAGTTGAAAATATGTAATACAGAGAGCCTTTTCTTTCTACGTGCCAACATGATTTCTCTGCACAGGTACAGGTAAAATAATTTCAAACAGCGCAGTTTAAAGTTGTTCATTAAATTATTTATTGTAGGAAAAAGTGGATGAACAAATGAAATTATTAAGGAGGATAAGATATTCTCACAAACACAAAAACTTGCTTTTCACATTAAATATGGTATCATGGAGTGGAGTCAAATCCGACGATGTTGCCGGACTTTTTTCACATAATGTACATACACTCTACAAGTTAGGAAATTTTAAAGCTGGACATTCCTGTCTTGATAATCAAGATATAAAAAGTATATGCGTCCCAATGTAAGCAGGATATATAATGCAATTAAGGATATATCCAAACTAATAATAATTATACTAAGTGACATATAAATCCGAACACCAAGTTTAAATGGTTTTATTTTAATAAAAGTTGGTGAATGTATTTATCTTACTGTAAATAACAAGTGAAAAAATGTTCAGCCTTATCAGTTGGACATTCCGGTTTTATACTGCTTTTTTTAATTCACTAACGCTCTAAAAATGAATATTTCAGCCGCAGTAAAGAATCAACGTTGGCGGATTTTGGTTCTTGACATCCTTTACGATCGGTTACGATGCCTAGAGTACGGAGACCTGTACGATTTCGTCAACTTAGTGAGTTTGATAGGGGCCGTATAGTGGGAAGCTGGACTTTCTTTTCGGGCAATTGCAGTTAGAGTGCAAAGAAGTGTAGACATTGCGGTTAGGTGTTATCAGGCATGGCTTCGAGAAGGCCGTACGCAAAGAGCAAGGGGCACTGGACGCCGCCGTAGAACAACAGACCGTGAAGATCGCCGCCTAAGATTATTGGCCTTAAGGGACCGTTTCTCCACTACCAAGTCCATTGCAAATGAATGGTTTGCAGAACACGGAAGACCTATTGGCATGCAAAGTGTTTACCGACGAATGAGAAGTTTTGGCTTGTTTTCATACCGACCACACTGGGTCCTCCCTTTAACTCGAGAACACCGACGTAATCGCCTTGAGTGGTGCAGACAACGGTCACTCTGGGATCAGGAATGGAACAGTATTGTCTTTAGTGACGAGTCTCGATTTTGTTTAGGCATGCACGATGGTCGTGCCAGGGTTAGAAGGCGACGTGGTGAAAGGAGGAATCCACAGTTTTTTGTTGAAAGACATGTTCATCACACTGTTATGGAGTTATGGTTTGGGGTGCTATAGCTTATGGTTCCAGGTCACCTTTAATCTTCATCAGAGGTAACATGAACGCGCAGCGTTATATCCACGAAGTTCTAGAACCCCATCTTTTACCCTATCTTGACACCCTGGCAGATCCAACTTTCCAACAAGATAATGCCCGACCACATGTTGCAAGAGTCACAATAGACTTCTTTCAACATAATGATGTCACATTGTTACCATGGCCACCAAGATCTCCCGACTTATCCCCAATTGAGCACGTGTGGGATATGATGGGTAGGAGATTGCTCAATTTTCAACGTCCTCCTCAGACTCTAGAAGCACTTCGAGAGGAGTTGGTGGTTGCCTGGAATGAGATACCACAGGAGGACATTGACCACCTGATCAGAAGCACGCCTAGGCGCGTTGGAGAATGCGTAGCACATCAGGGTGCATCCAGACATTATTAAAGGTCAAATGGCTTTAAAGCAGTGCAATCATTTTGAAATTTTTATCATTTACTTATTATGCTTCATTAAGTACTTATACAGAATTTTATTAAAATAAAACCATTTAAACTGGGTGTTCGGATTTATATGTCACTTAGTATATTAACAACTATCTAGTTGTGACCGGTATACATGGTGATTCAGAAAATCGTGAATATATTATTAAGACATAAAGTAGATAAAAAAATAACAAGACAAGTTCATATAAACATGAGCTTTAAAATGCCCCCTTATGGAGATTCAGAGTGCTGAAACAATGATTACGAAATAAAAAATATATATACGGGTGTCTGAAAAAAGTTGGTAAATCTCAAAACTGGAGATACTACAGACCAAAATATGTGGATGGACCTGAACATACCTCAGTCAAAGTTAAAATTTTTGTTTTCTATTTTTCCTTATTGCTTGAGGAATGCACACATTCTGGCCCCCGCATACGAGATCCGAGATCTCTTGGTACGGGATTCGAACCCGCACAGCGCACGGCGACTGATCAGGAGACCGAAGAGTCTACTACTGCGGCCACCGCTGCTGCCTATTTTGCGCAAAGTCATCACTCCGAATTTTAAGATGGCACCACTCAAAACCAGCGTAGCCCAGGACAGTCTCGTTCCCAAAAAAGGGCGTCCAACCGTTCAAAACGACAAGCGAATATGAGGATATCTGTCGTTTTTTAATGTACCAGATTCGTCACCCTCGTCCATCGTCCCGAAACGCTCTAAATTAAAAAGACCAACCATTCAAA